TTTTTTTTTTTTTTTGGGGGGGGGGAGGTGGGGGGAAGCTCTCAAAAAAGAACCCAAATCAATTTGATCAAGATCCCAAACACAGTTACAATACAATCTCACTGAACAGATCTACAGAGACTTGCTTTCAAGAGAACATGATGGCTAGACCTGGTCCCAATTAGTATTCCCTAATTCGCTGTGTGGCACATGAGTTGTGTACAACATGAGCACAAACGACAGAGATACACCACCAAGAAGGTCGACCTCAAAAGCACTGTTCTCCCCTTATATGCTTTCAGATCACATAGTCAAACCAGTGAAAGAAGCCAAGGGTGAATGAGCTCTCTCTCTCTCTCTCTCTCTCTCTCTTACCTATCTCTATATGGAGAGTATGTGAAAATGGAACATGTACAAACAAATGCGGAAACTCAGATTCCAACCATTTATGTAGCTCTCTCTCTCTCTCTCTCTCTCTCTAGCTTTCAACTTCACAACAAAACGATCATTTCACTAACAGGACAGAAGAGACGACTCACTCGTATAGATTGCTTTTGCTTTTCCTTTGGCAGAAACAAGTCCACAATCTTCTTCTCCCATAAACATCAAAATCTCTACCTAAATTAGCACTCATAAACCCCAAAGCAAACGTGTAGTCCTTCTCATATCACAAATCAACCTCTACTCCTGCAAAATTCCAAAAGAAAAGAAAACAAAATCATCACCAAAACATTATAATCATCGTACATAGACATAATACATTGAAAATAATGGACTCAAATCATCATTACACAAACATAAACACATTGAAATACTAATAGCTAACAAATAACGATTCATAACAGATTTGAAGAGAAGATTAAAACTTACATACAAACATAACAACACAAACATTACATATATTCATACACAGAATCAGAAGCATAGACGATCGAGGAACCTCGCAGTGATAGTAGTGTTTTTCTGGTGTGGAGTGCGTGATTTAGGATATTTTCTGGTCTTCCTTCTGTCTCTATATCGTTATCTTTTTGCTCCGATTTCATATCAGAACAGCATACAAACACGCCAAACAGATACGGATATTAAATGTGCCTGTCTCTCTCTCTCTCTCTCTCTGTGTCTGTGTGTGCGAAAGAGAGAGANCTATACAAAATGCACATTTACTTTTCCCCAAAGCAAGCAGGAAGAGAACAAGAAAATGATGAGCAATTCTAACAACAGGCCAGACATATAAAGTATTGGAAAGGCCAAGTTAAGAGAACAAATCAACAAGAAATTATACAGTATTACTTAATTCGCCAAAAAAGAGGAATTATAAGAGAAGAAGGCGGCCCTGAGTTACCGGCACTTTGCGAAGGAACCACCACAAGCAATGTGATGCAAACCCCAGGTTGAACAACATGAGTCAAAGCCCACACCAAAGCTGTCCGAGGAATTTCCTTCGACGCCTTAACGGCGACAACCACCTTCTCGGCAGCATCAGAGCCCTTGTCCTGCTTCACTTTCTTTAATTCTCGACTCATTAGCCCAGAAAACTACTTCCCAAACTATATCTTCAAAGCTTCAACAAACCCAACCCTCAAAACCCATCAGAACCTATATTATATCCTTCCAAACACACCACAACCCTGCAGACCGAAAAAGCATATATAGATGTCTACTTGAAACACCAGCAAAAAAACATTACATGCATTATTGTGCGTTCTGTCCCCACCAGAATGATGATTCTCATGCATATAACGCCGACATGCTCACTGTTCTATCACAATAATTGACAGACCGACTCGCTCCAACGACAAGACCTTTTTAGCCAACGATTCAGAACCAATTTTTCAGAAATAAGCGTTCCTCTTTGATGTGTCTTTGGCTTGTTTTACACCCAACAGCAATAATTCCACTGCTCTACAATTTTTTTTTTTTTTTTTGGGGGGGGGGGGGGGGGGGGGAAGCTCTCAAAAAAGAACCCAAATCAATTTGATCAAGATCCCAAACACAGTTACAATACAATCTCACTGAACAGATCTACAGAGACTTGCTTTCAAGAGAACATGATGGCTAGACCTGGTCCCAATTAGTATTCCCTAATTCGCTGTGTGGCACATGAGTTGTGTACAACATGAGCACAAACGACAGAGATACACCACCTAGAAGGTCGACCTCAAAAGCACTGTTCTCCCCTTATATGCTTTCAGATCACATAGTCAAACCAGTGAAAGAAGCCAAGGGTGAATGAGCTCTCTCTCTCTCTCTCTCTCTCTCTCTCTCTCTCTCTTACCTATCTCTATATGGAGAGTATGTGAAAATGGAACATGTACAAACAAATGCGGAAACTCAGATTCCAACCATTTATGTAGCTCTCTCTCTCTCTCTCTCTAGCTTTCAACTTCACAACAAAACGATCATTTCACTAACAGGACAGAAGAGACGACTCACTCGTATAGATTGCTTTTGCTTTTCCTTTGGCAGAAACAAGTCCACAATCTTCTTCTCCCATAAACATCAAAATCTCTACCTAAATTAGCACTCATAAACCCCAAAGCAAACGTGTAGTCCTTCTCATATCACAAATCAACCTCTACTCCTGCAAAATTCCAAAAGAAAAGAAAACAAAATCATCACCAAAACATTATAATCATCGTACATAGACATAATACATTGAAAATAATGGACTCAAATCATCATTACACAAACATAAACACATTGAAATACTAATAGCTAACAAATAACGATTCATAACAGATTTGAAGAGAAGATTAAAACTTACATACAAACATAACAACACAAACATTACATATATTCATACACAGAATCAGAAGCATAGACGATCGAGGAACCTCGCAGTGATAGTAGTGTTTTTCTGGTGTGGAGTGCGTGATTTAGGATATTTTCTGGTCTTCCTTCTGTCTCTATATCGTTATCTTTTTGCTCCGATTTCATATCAGAACAGCATACAAACACGCCAAACAGATACGGATATTAAATGTGCCTGTCTCTCTCTCTCTCTCTCTCTGTGTCTGTGTGTGCGAAAGAGAGAGAGAGAGAGAGAGAGTTAGATTAAAGATCCAAAATAAGCAATAAACAAGGGAGTGGGGGTGGGGGTGGGGTGCGTGTGCGGGTGAGGGTTGGTTTTCAAGCCGGCTCAATCCAAATCGACGCAATAACACCAATACATGAATACTAAAAGATAATAATTATTAAATAGAAGTAACATACCGACCCTTTTTTTTTTAAAATGAGAGAGGCAAATTCATTAATTTGTAAAAAGATTGAACGGATTAATAAATAATGGATAAAAGTTGTGGCTTATATTTTTGGTAATTAAAATTGATATGTAAGGAAGTCACTCAACGTATTCGTCATGGAGCAATCATCTTTTAACACTATACAACTATTTATAGATAAGATTGTGCAATGAATTTAAAAAATGAGTCGAGCATATGTCGAATTCGAGTAGTTCGATTATTTTATATATAAACGAGTTAAACTTTATATGTTCGAACCGGGTTTTTTTAGGTTTGTTTGTTAAATGAGTTTAAAAATATTGTTTAATTTTGGCTCGTTTAAGCTCAAGTCAAGTCTTTTCTGAACCGAGTTTGAGTAATTTTTAACTCAATTATCAATCGTATTTACAAGAGATCCCATTGTATTTACGTCGGACTGAAACTAAAGTCTCATCACATATTATAAGTGTTAAAAAGTATGTTTAATCTTACCAAATTATCATAATTATGAAAATTCAAATTCAAAAATTAAACCCAAAAAAAAAATCTAATTATCACCTATTGAACCAATCACTCCATGGTATCCTAACTTACATTTGTCACCCTGAGTCTGTGAATTGTGACTCCACGTGCTGGGATAAATCCTATGCATTTACATACAACACAAGAGTCTGAGCAGGTGGACAGTGAATGGCACTAACTCTCTCTCTCTCTCTCTCTAGCTCTCTCTCTCTCTCTAGTCTGTACTTTTTTGCTGCAGATTTCACTGTGTGGTTTGCGAAAATGGCCGACGAGGTCTACTTTACATAAATGCCCACACGAAGAAACCAATTTTTCGGATCTGACATTTTCTTTACCATGTTAAAGATTAGTTTTTGAGTTTTGAAAATCCGCAGGCGCGCAGCGCTGAATAAAGGTTAGATTTGGCTTTAGGGCTTGTCTTTAGTGCTATAGCCACCCAGGTTCATGTTAGATTGGGCGGCGCACAAAATTTTGAATGAACACAAACCCCTTACTCATATTTTAAATTTTAAGAATCACTTTTCTAATATGTGGGCCCCGGACCCATGAATGGTATGCATTGATCTTTGTCTTCATGGTTCTTTAATAAATTTTGTCACTTCTATAGGATAAATCTAATAGCAATGATGAAAAAATGAACTTTAGCTATGATGTTTTTCATCATAGTTTTGTGAAATTTTAAATGAAGATGACAATGATTCTAACATCAAGATGACCTTTAAGGTTGTGGGAAAAAAGTTTCATAATTCTTAATTAGTTGGGTTTATGAAAAGAATCAAACAACTCACCCCTTTTCTTACAAGTATTATTGATTAGTTATGCTGAAGTAATATGCATTTTTATTTTATCATACACAATAATTACTTCAATAGACTTGATTTGCATCAATTTTCACAAATTTCCAATATAATTTTAACAAATATATTTGATGATGTACAAAAATAGATTTATACACCACCTGTCGAGTAATCAATATAAGTAATAAGTGCAGTAAATATAAAAATGAGATCAACACAGATATAGAGTGGTTCGGTTAGGGTGACATACTCCATTTTGAAGGCGACCACGGTGATAAGAGAATTTTATTGATAAAGTAGTAAGAGAGAGAACAAGGATAAATTCTATGTGAGGTTAGGTAGCTATGTGAGATATGTAGAGATGTATAGGCATAAAGCCTTAGTTAAAGCGATGGCGTGAAGAATAGGTGACTAATCTATCGAAAAGGATAGCTACAGTTGGGGATGGGCAGTACCTTGAAGTAATAGTTATTCCGATAATTGCTCATGTGTTGACTCTTTTTGGACTCTTGAGCTAAGTCTGGTCCGCCTTTTGATGGTTCAAGCTCAACCCATAATCTGGGCACATGCTTGATCGAAATTTGAACTCATCAATATTCATATGCAATTGAAGAAATATAGGCGAAACAAGCAAACAACCATTAACAATCATTATTCTCTTCTTCTTTTTTTTGTTGCTTTAATGGTCGGGATGTTCAGACCAGTTGATGTGTACCTCGACTAATCTTTTTGAGTACAACTATTCCCACATCACAAATCTCTGTTCTCACCCGATTAAACTATAAATCATAAAACTACTAAATTTATCTTTTTTTATATCTCACTCCACTAATTATTAAATTCACCTCATTCTATACGCACCTCATTAACAACAAAAATTATTTCAATCCTCACTTTTTAGGGTTTTTTTTCTATACCCATCTAACATAGTTTATACACAAAATATATTCAACCAAATTCTACTCTAAGCTTCTTTCATGTAAATTACTTCAACTGTTACTGTCCTATGTTTATCTTCTTTGTTCTCATCGTCGGAATAATACTCCTATTCTACTATGCGTTTCTCTAGCTTCCTTTTTTCAATGCTGATTGAAGGAATTCGTAGAGAAAAAGCACTTCTTTACACACAATTTCTTAATATATAGAAGCAAATCTCTTGGAGTCTTTGTTGGAAGTAGCATTTAAAGCTAAGTTCCTTGAAAAGGAAAAGAAAACGATCATCACGTCTCCCTACTCGAATTATACAGTTTATACATAATTATTTGTTTAGTTTTAATAAATGGTTTTGTTGAATATATTTTGTACAAACTATATGAGATGAGGTATACAAAAAAACCTTAAAAGTAAAAATTGAGATAAATTTAGCTATTTAATATGGTGGGTATAGATGGGATGAACTTAATAATTTTATCATTTATAGTTTAATGGAGTGGGAAAGGAGATTTGTAGGGTGGAAATAGCTCCACCCAATTCTCTTCCCGATACGGTTAAAGATTAGAGTATTCATGAGTGATAAATCTCTTATGACCTAATCCTAAAGAGTTGTCAAAATTAAAACTTAAAACGTTTGAATTTAAGCTCATCTATGATACCATTTTAACTACCCTTTACAATATTCATGAGGGATAAATCACTATTCTTTCTTTTCGCGGACAACAACAATCACATACCTTGTCATCATATGATGCCATGCATCTCAAATAATGTGGCACTACATCATATAAAATCCAAATTTTTATATCACCTTCTTTCTCTTGGACCCAATACTGACATGGTGGTTTTATGTTGAAATTGGATGGCAAAATTCAAATTCAAGTGACAAAAGTGGTGGTGACGTCAATGTTCATGGTATGGATTTAGAAAAATGAGAGGAAAGACATTAGGATTTTGCACGGGATAATTCCTGTAATAGTTTGAGACAACGATCTCCAAGCTGGTGAATCTGAAATAACAGGGTCAGAAAAAAGGGGATCAGGTGAACACCTAACTTATCCCCTCTGAAACTTAAGTTAGTCCAAGGTCGAAGGGTTTAGCTCATTGAACAATCTTTTTCTGGTTCAAGTTTGCGTACCTTTGTCCATTTTTCTGAGGGGTATTTATACCTGAATTAACAATGATTATTAAAGGTCTCCAATCCCATCTGGACATCTAACATCTGACACACCATTCCTCGCGCAATGAGTGTTTTCTATTTACGTCTCCTCCTATTAAATGCTAGGACGATGGAATGAGCGCTCAGCTAAATGCCGAGCATTTTTGCCTTTCCCCGAGTACCCAAATCCCTCATATCGACATNTTTACGTCTCCTCCTATTAAATGCTAGGACGATGGAATGAGCGCTCAGCTAAATGCCAAGCATTTTTGCCCTTCCCCGAGTACCCAAATCCCTCATATCGACATTTGACATCAACTGAGCATTAAATGCTCAGGGGAACAGTTCCTCGGGGGGGTCGATCGCGTTGTCTCGGCGCATCAGCCATTAATGCTTAGCCATCATAATCGTAGGCCTAGACACCCAGAGTGCAGGTGCTTGCAGGCGCACATTTATTTGTCTTGTCACCATCACTCACTCTGCCATTAATGAGGGGTCACGTCATATTAAATACGATGTCAACAGTCGTACTCGGCTGGTCCGGGTCACCATACCTCGGCTTACCTCCTAGGCGCCCTTTGGACGTCCCATCAGCTTCATTACTTCACATGTCAACTTGGGGGCTGTAGAGCCACCTAGAGTCCCGCCAACTGCCCCCCAGCTGCAATCATTTTCGTAGTGTAAGACAAGTAGCGTAAAGAGATTGGAGGCTCAATCATCACCACGCCTTACTAATAGCGACGGTTACTTACATGTCTGATGCTGCCCTTTTCAAATACCCTAACGATGGCCTAAATTTTTGATTCCCGCTCCCTGTAAGGCAGTATAAATAGCAGGTATTCATGCCTCAAAACTTTTGCATCCTCAGCCTCTCTTCGGCAATCAGACCCTGAGCACTTCTTTGTTCTCCTCCAAGTTTTCTTCGTCCTCTGAGCTTCCTTTTTGAAGATCACCCTCCTGTAAATACTTCCGC